CATGGAAAACCAAACCTGTTGCATCGAGTCGATTCTGACTCAGCAACCCTATAGGACAGAGTAGAACTACCCCATAGGGTTTCCAAGGAGCAGCTGGTGGATTCGAACTGCCAACCTTCTGATTAGCAGCCAAATGCTTAACCACTGTGCCAGGAGGGCCCCCTTATACATGGAAGGGCAGGTAAAATTCTGCAGTGCTGAAGAGGCTTTACTCCCCCTATATACCGTTATTGCCAGACTTCCCAAACATCCTTTATATGACTGCTGGAGAACTGCAGTCTCAGCATTACCTAATTTCCTCATAAATCTCTTGCCTTTTAATCAGCTAAGTGGCTATCTGCTAAATTTCTCTGATTTATTGATATCTTTTGAGGGCTGAGGATATGTCCAGACACTAAGTGATTAAATGTGGATGAAAAATGGCACATCATCATAATTACGATGGAAAAGAGAATCGTGACTAGGCATACAGAAGATCTCATTCATCTCTATGAATGGAGACAGCTTCTTAAAAGGGCAGGCTCCAGGGCTGCAGAGAAAACTGCACTATCAAACTAGTTTTTGCACGAAAATCTTCACAATTCCTCTCATTGGAGATGCATTTGCTGGCTCAGCAGCTCCACAGGAACCCCCTTAGAATTCACTGTCTCGAGGAGTGGAGACTTTAGGCTACTGGCCAAATTGAAAGATTAAAACCCTGGATCTGTTTTCACCTTATCTACCAAGCCCTCTGTGACTTGGGAAGGATGTTTCAGCTTTTTTTTGAGACCTCGATTCTTTAACTGTTAAAGGCAACCCCAGCTGAGGAGAATTGTCATAGTACCCTCTTAAAAAACAAAACAAAAAACACTTTGATTCAAAAGGACAATATGTCTCGGGGAACATCTAGCTCAAGTGGCATAACACAGTTTATAAAGACAATGTTCTACATTCTACCTTGGTGAGTAGCGTCTGGGGTCTTAAAAGCCTGTGGGCAGCCATCTAAGATACTCCACTGGTCTCGCCCCTTCGGGAGCAAGGGAGAATAAAGAGAACAGGACACAAGGAAAAGGTTAGTCCAAAGGACTAATGGACCACAGCTACCATGGCCTCCACCAGACTGAGTCCAATACAGGTAGATGGTGCCCGGCTACCACCACTGACTGCTCTGACCGGGATCACAACAGAGGCTCTTGGACAGAGCTGCAGAAGGATGTAGAACAAAATTCTAACTCACAAAAAAAGATCAGATTTACTGGCCTGACAGACCGGAGAAACCCTGAGAGTATGGCCCCCGGACACCCTTTTAGCTCAGTGATGAAGTCACTCCCAAGGTTCACTGTTCAGCTGGGCATAGGACAGCCCCATAAAACAAAATGGGACTAATGAGGCACAGCAGTCCAGGGACAAGGACTAGAAGACAGGAGGGGACAGGAAAGCTGGTGATAGGGAACCCAAGGTTGAGAAGGGACAGTGTTGACATGTCTTGGGGTTGTTAACCATTGTCATAGGGCAATAAGTGTGCTAACTTTAATGAGAAACTATTTGTTCTGTAAACCTTCATCTAAGGTACCAAAAAAAAAAAAAAATTATCTAAAAAAAAGAGAATTATCTATGTGAGATCAAATTGACAATAGCAACTCAAAGGTTTGACGGGAAGCCTAGGGGTCAGTGAGTTGAAGATAATGGTGATGGAGTAATTTGGAAACGGATAATGAGAATAGCACAACTGGAAGAATGTAATCGATGTCACTGAATTGTACATGCAAAAACTTTTGAAATGGTGTAACTTTGGCTATGTATATTTTCACCAAGAAAAAAAAAATGTCCTCCAAAGTTGAGAAGGGCGAGTGTTGACATGTCGCGGGGTTTTTAACCAAAGTCATAAAACAATATGTGTACTGATTGTTTAATGATAAACTATTTGTTCTGCAAACCTTCAGCTAAAGTACAATAAAAAAAATTAAAAATAAAAATAAATAAAAGGACAATATGGTGGCACTATAAAATGAAAGACAGTATTGTTTATGTTACAGGTTGTTACAATTGTTAAAGCGCCACCTGCTGGAAACTCCACTGATAACACATATCAATTCTATGAGAGGCTGGTATCAGAAAGGTGAGAAATGTCACTGCTTGTCCACAAAAGGGAACCTAGTTTCACACAGCAAATACTGAAAATGGCATCAGCACATTCCTCTTTTTACAGTGTAACCACAGTCCAACTGCACAATTTATTATATACAAGATAACACTTGGGAACAATCTAGACAACTCAATTATACTTATCAGTAGGGTTTTTTTTTGTTTAATGGCATGAGTATGTAGAAAAAATACTGAGAAATCAATATTGTTTAATGGCTAAAAGAGATTTACAGAAGGTTCTCCATTTAAGGATGTGTCGTCTTTCAAAAGCTTGTCTCTAAGCCACATGTTTGAAATACACTTTCCCGTGGAAGCAGTGCTATAAAAACTGGTTAAACTCCCAGTCTTCAAAAATTTATTTAAGCCTGGATGCACAGCCCTGCAGTACTAACTATAATTTAACAGCTGACTGACATTCAGAGCATTGCTTCTTTGGGACACTGCATTTGGGCTCTGCTCTATTTTAGTGTTTCTATGTTTGATACCCACCATTCTTCTGTTGTAGTGTGGTGGCTTGTGTGTTGCTATGATGCTGGACGTTATGCCACTGGTTATTTCAAATACCAGCATGGTAGACAGGTTTCAGAAGAACTTCCAGACTAAAACTGACTAGGAAGGAAGGCCTGGCGATCTACTTATGAAAATTAGCTGATGAAAACCCTATGGATCACAACAGAATACTGTCTGATACAGTGCTGGAAGATGAGCCCCCTATGTTAGAAGGTACTCAAAATACACAGTGGCCACAACAATCGACTTGAACACATCAACAATCGTGAAGATGGCTCAGGACTAGGTAATGTTTCATTCTGTTGTACATGGGGTCGCCATGACTTGGAGCCAATTCAACAGCAACTACCAACAACATGTTTGATACATTGTTTTGTGTTCCTTTCTCATGCAAATTACAAATCTCTGGGATGCCCAGATTTGAACTCCTTTCTCCTTCTCTAGGGGGTGTTGTGACACCTATGGAGTAGGCAAGGGGAAAGACTAGAATTAAGTACACGGGTGGGAAGAGAGCAGAGCAAAATAAGTTGCTAACTACATGCATTTGTATAAAAGACTTTACTTTGTTTGGGTCAATCTTCCCTCAAATGTTACGAATTGAGACCAAAGGCAAAAGTTTAATTAATAAACATCTAAGTGGATGACCAAAGGCCTAGAAAGATGGAAAAAGGCAGTCACTGACCTGGAGGAGCTCAGCCTGTGGTGAGGAGGGGCAGGTAAACCACAAGCGCGCCCATAACATTCTAAAAGGAGGAAATGTACAAGGGGCCGCAGGCGCCTTGAGGAAGGAGGGACCTCACCTACACAGCCTGAGAAAGGCTTCAAAGGTGACATTTGAGCTGAGCCTTGAAAGACTTACGGGATTTTGTTATCTGAGAGACTCTACTTCATCACTATCCCTAGACATACATGTTTATTCTTAAGCAAGATACTTTTAAAAATAATCTGTGTGGTAATCAAAATGAACGTCTTCCCAAAAAGGCCAAACATTTTAACATGATCTTTTTTCTCTCATAGATAGCTGTTAACCATAGGGAGTGAAAACCAAATATCAACTGAAAAGACAGCTTTAATTGGTCGCACAGAATTAAAAAGATTTTTTCACTCAAAAAAGTACAAATCCCACTGTAATAATTTAGGATTGAAAAACATTTGGTCCTGCAAATGACCTGTGAGCTCCCTCTGAATTCCCCTCCATCCTAGCTAAGTCCTGCAGAGAAAGGTTTGTCTTTCTGACAAAAGATATGATCCTGAAAATATGGATGTGAGGAAACTTCAAATATGTTAAATCATGTAAAATCCACAAGGGGAACTGGTTAATCAAAGAAACTACCCGGGGAACGCATTCCCATGAATTCAAAATCTTTTAATAAAATGAACACTTACCCCAATTTCTTTACTGCATTTTTACAAAATAATTTACAGAGAGTTTTCTTCAACTGGCCTATTGGTGGCTGAGATTATAATGGTGTTATAGTATTAACACTTTGGATGGAAGTAATATCATAAAAATCTCATGACACATTACAAATATTTGGTAAGAAGCAGTGTAGTATCCTCTTTTAACAACTGGGAGAGGGTTCCTGGGTTTCCTGGACTCCAGTTTAATACTTCTATGCTATGCTCACGTATATCCCGTAATTTCTCAAGTGCCGCCCTCTTGCTAAGGAGCCCTGGTGGCGCAGTGGTTAAAACACTTGGCTGCTAACTGAATGGTCAGTGGTTTGAAACCACCAGCCGCTCCACAGGAGAAAAATGTGGCAGTCTGCTTCTGTAAAGATTACAGCCTTGTAAACTCCATGGGGCCCTTTTACTCTGTTCTTTAGGGCCACTGTAAGTCAGAATCGACTTGATGGCAGTGGTTTGGTTTTTGTTGGCCCTCTTGCTGCCCCCACCCCCTCTTCCTGCCATGTGCAATCAGTTACCAGACCTCATCTGTGTACTAAAGGCCACCAGGCTTGTGGTCAGTGACTGCCTTACCAGGAAGAAAACCAGGACACCTACTCCATAACCACCCTGGACTGCCCACCTCTTCCTGAACACCTACCCCTGCCTGGACAGCCTGCTGTCAGGCCCTGTCCTGAGGCTGGCTCACTCCTAAGCTGTCTCCTCCATCCTGCTTCCCACTTCTGCCTCCCAGATCCTAGTGTGCGGCCTGCACTTTGTCTCCCAGCACTAACAGGTATTGATCCTCAAACACGCAGAAACAAAATTCTTGCCTTGGGTTCTGCTCTTTGGTATTTCTATGTTTGATGCAGTCGCTGGGTGGTGCAAATGGTTAATGCACTTGGCTGCTAACCGAAAGGTTGGAGGTTTGAGTCCATCCAGAGGTGCCTTGGAAGAAAGCTCTGGCAATCTACTTCTCAAAAATCAGCCATTGAAAAATCTATGCAGCACAGTTCTACTCTGACACATATGGGATCTCAATGAGTCAGTCAACTGGACAGCAATTGGAAATGTTTGATACATTGCTTTGTGTCCCTTTCTCACATCTAACCACTGGACCAAATTCCATGCTGCAGACTGTTCACTCTGAGTCTGAAATGATCCAAGTGTCCCCTCAGCAATCAGCAGGTTCTGCTTTACCCCAGTGGTGGCTCCCAGTTTCCCAGGAGGGCTCTGCTTTCTTCTGCAGCTACAAGTCTACAGAGTGGGTTTCCTGGAGGTTCTCCTCCATCTTCAGTCCCAGGTTGTCGAACCCAATGATGGTGACCGATGGCACACTGCTTTCAGCCGGCTCTGCCGTGCGCGTCGGGGTGGAGCAGTACAGAATAAACCCCACCATGATGACGGTGAAGGACAGGATGTAGAGCCACGAAAACTAGGAAGAGAGAAGAAGAACAGGCTGTAGACTGTGCTCCCTTTCATACACATCATTGCTGCTGTCTTTTGGCAACTGTGCTTTGAGGGTGACCTTCTCACAGCCCTTTTTTCTGAAAGCTTCCCATATATACTCGTGAATGCACGGGCTCTAGCAACACCACCTGGCACGGTGGCCCAGTGGATCTTTGGCTCTCTTGGTAATGGAACCTTTGCCATGATAATCCTGATGCACACCACCCCACAACTAGTCCCTCTTACTGGAGGGAATAAAAGGTCAGGATGGATACCATGGGAGAGCCCCACTCAGACCCTCAGCACAGCTTACAATATTGGTATGAGACAGAGGAACATATGCCCTAAGATAAAGTGCGGACATACAGATTTAGCATCTTCTCAACAACCCCTCATGTATGCTGCTCCAATAAAATTCATTTTGTTAAAATCTAATAAATTATCTTGTCTTTGTAGGCAAGTTTTACATGGTTTAAAATTTATGGTGGCCCGAGGAGACTGAGATTTTTAGAGCTGGAAAGAACCTAAGAGGTCATTTCTTTTTTTCCCCCCAGGAAAAGTCTCAAGTGAAGTCCGAAGTCATTACTGGCATAAGGTCTAGTGAGGACAAGCTCAGGGAACAGAGCCCTGCAGGAAAAGCATCTTGTACCCTCTCTAGCCTAGAGGGACCAATGGCGGCAGGAGCCCATTCTGACACACCAAAGGGATGGATGGAGTTTTTCGTGATCTTCTCCAACCCGTCCTTTTTTCATACTGAAAAGGATCACCGAGGGCAAAATGCAATGAAGACAAAACACTAATCCATTAGGTATTTTTACTGAAAACGACACCCTGATATACCTCAAAGTAAATTATACTAAGTGCTTTGTATATTTGCTCTTATTTGAATTGAAGAGTCATACAAAATTTCGAATAGTCAAAGTTAGAGAAATGAATATTTGTTTGCGATATTATGATGAATAAAGCACAGAAGAGTAGCTAAAGACTGACCATAAATGGCATAGGAAAAATTAGGGAAACCATGAAGCATAATTAATGTGTAATTAAATGCCCAGGATCATCCCCCTCCCCTCCTTGGAACAAGCAAACTCAGATTTATGAAAGGTCCTGCTAAGCTGATTTTAAAATTAAGAATGGGGGCATACTCTTTTATTCAAGCCAAAAAATATTTTTAAATTAGCTTAAATTTCATATTATGTAAAATAAGAAGTGCTAATAAGGGAACAACAGAAAAAAGCAATAAGAAAACAGAATGGTTGGGAAGGGAGGAGAGAAAGAATATTAGGGAAAGAGACAGAAGAAAAAGGAAGCTGGATACACTCCCAAAAGTAGAGAGAAGCAACAACCACATAGTTCTCCTTCCCAAGTTGTGCAACCATCACCACTATCCATTTCCAAATTTTTCATTGCCTTTAACAGAAGCTCAGTGCCCACTAAGCAAACACTCCCGCTCTCCCCCTCCTTCTCATCCCCGATAACCACTAATAAACTTTGGACTCTACACATTTGTCAACTAAGTAGGTTTTTTACTTGACTGTTAGGTAGATCATTGGTCACAACCAGCAGTGGGCTTCTGGAGGCCACCAAGAGCTTTGACAGGTTAATTTTTTACAGATGCTCAATTACTTCAACTTAAACCTTTAGAACTCCTTAAGGAACGGAATAGCCACAGCCCTCCACAGGCAGGAAAAGTCTTTACTGGATTCAGTGATGATACAAAGTCAGTGATATGTCTAGCTAAACAGTCAAACAAATTTCCTAAACTACTTGCTTTAATTTTGGAGCCCTGGTGGCACAGTGGTTAAGAGCTCGGCTGCTAACCAAAAGGTTGGCAGTTCCAATCCACCAGCCACTCCTTGGAAACCCTACTGGGCAGTTCTACTCTGTCCTATAGGGTCTTACTATGACTTGGAATCAACCCAATGGCAAAGGGTTAGCTTTAATTCTTGGATCTAATAGCACAGTACCCAGCACATAAAACCAAAAAGCCAAACCCGTTGCCATAGAGTCAGTTCCGACTCATGCCAACCCCATGTGTTACACAGTAGAACTGCTCCATGGGGTTTTTCTTGGCTATAATCTTAACAGAAGCAGACTGCCAAGCCTTTCTTCTGTAGTGGGTTTGAAGCACTAACATTTAGATTAGCAGCTGAACACATATCACTTGTACCACATGACTTACAGCGACCGTATAAGACACAGCAGAACTGCCCCATAGGGTTTCCAAGGTTGTAATCTTTATGGAAGCAGACTGCCACATCTTTCTCCCCTGGAGTAGCTTGTGGGTTTGAACCGCCGACCTTTTGGTTTGCACCCGAGTGCTTACCACCAGGGCTCCTGTCCAACACATAACTGGCGTTTAATAAATGTCTGTTGAAAAAATAATTGATTCTGAGAATATTAGGGAAGTTAAGGCTATTTGGAATAGAGTCTTAAATTATCTGAAGTCAGTATTATGAAAGGCAATCATGCTCTCCTATAAAATGTTCACTGTTACCTGTGGGGAAACTTATATAACATGTTCAAAACATGTCCTTTTTCGTTTGTGGTTTTTAAATGTCCAGAAGACAAAGAATCTTGTCCTCTTGAGAAGGTAGGTTCTTAAATGGAGGCATGTTTATTAGAAGGGAGAGGCTTTGAGGGTATGAGATAAGTCTCCTGAATTAGAGGATCATACCCTTTTTTTCCCATACAAAAATTTATACATACATTGTTATGTGACTCTAATTGCTCTCCCCATAGTGTGACAGCACACTCCTCTTTTCCACCGCTGATTCCCCATGTCCATTCAACCAGTTCCTAACCCTCTCTGCCTTCCCATCTCACCTCCAGACAGAAGCTTCCCAGTTAGTCTCTTGGATCTACTTGAGCTAAGAGGCACACTCCTCACGAGTATCACTTTATGTCCCACAGTCCAGTCCAATCCTTGTCTGAAGAGTTGGCCTCAGAAATTGTTTTAGTTCTGGGCTGACAGAGAATCCAGGGGTTATGCCTTTCCGCGGTTGTAGGACCATACCCTTTTTCTTTTTTAAAATTCTACCCTTTGTGTCTGGATCTACATAGGAAGTTTCTTGTGGTTACTCTGTTCAGTTAGTATTTGTTGTTAGGTGCCGTCAAATCAATTCCGACTCATAGTGACCCTATGTACAACAGAACAAAACACTGCCCAGTCCTGTGCCATCCTCTCAATCGTTGCTATGTTTTAAGTTTTTACTCAAGATCAATTCCAGAAGAGGCACAGTACTGAAGGTCTGACACAGAGGAGTGTAAAAAATTTAAACCTCCTTTTTGAACTGGTTGTTTCAAGATATCAGAGCCAAAATTATTTCAGATACAATTAATTTAAAATGGTGGCATATTGCACTTATGATTCTATCTTTAACAATTACGTCTAAAATGCTAGGTATCTTATTCATGCTCTGAAATGCTTTTCCATCTCAGTAATTTACTCCAAAGATCATAGCAGACCTGCTCTTTGCTCTGTAAGTTTTGAAATGGCCTTTGACCAGAAACAATAAAATCTAATGAGTTAAGAGTGAGTTGCTAGCCACACAGGGACAAAGAAACATAAAACAAAAAAACTAGAAAGAAATTTACAGATTGCATGCTCCAATTTTGAGAATAATTGTTAAAAGTCAAAATGACACACAAAAGGGCTTTTTCATATTAAAGTTAAGACCAGTCGAAGAGTAAATATTTAGATTAATAGCGTTCATAATAGGAGATAGTGACAAGAATATTTCAATTGTACTTAGAAGTTTTTATTTCTTTAACCATAGCTCCTCCTTGGGCATTATTTTACTTATGAGAGAAAAGTAAAAGTTGAAATACTAATGTTAAATCAATATATTTGGCCCCCCAAAAAATAAAAAAAGCATAGGTGAGGGGGACCATTTGCCATACTGCTGAGTTCTCAAGTTTTCTTTGGGTCTGAGGTAGCTTTCAACCCTGAACTGCAGTAAAGAAGCACCATCATCCCCTGGTGGTGGCCATGTGAAATGCAGGCACAGCACCATAGAACTACTCACTTCCTTAAGGCTGACTTTGTAGCCCTTGACAATTCTGCTCGTATAGAAAAAAATACATACATGCATATATATATCTGGACCTGTCAGGGCCATTTCTCTGTTTCACTTTGACATTTGGTATTGCTTTATGATGCTACCAAAAAGCTATAAATATTCCTTCAGCCTTTTAAGTTTCAGGAATACCTTAACCAGCAAGTTTATAAAGATAACAGCTGGCTCCTGTCACATGTAACCTTGCAAGGCAAAAAGGTTTATACTTCTTAAGCAGAAATTTCTGGGAATCAATCATTACGGTATCAATCATTTAGCTTGGCACAGTGAGTTCACAGTTGATACCTGGGAATAGTGCAAATCAATACCAAGGTTTCTGCCTGGATACAAAATTTTACAAGGACAAAGAAATATAGTCAATATCCGCACCAGCTACTAAAACTAAAATTATCAAGTAACAGCCAACAACCTAACTATTTGCTCAAATGAAAGATAATGAGCAGGTCAATGAGCACATTTACTGAGGGTAAACTAAGGAAAGATAGATTTCTAAGGCAGAAGTTCTCAAAGTACGATCTGGAGGCCCTTGAGGGTCCCCAAGATTCTTTCTGGAGGTCTGTGAAGTCAAAACTATTATCATAATAATACTAAAATGTTATTTGCCTTTTTTACTTTCATTCTCTTAGAAGTAGACAAAGGAATGTTCCAGAGGCTATGTGACATGTGATATCACAAGATAAAATGAAGATGCAGATATGAGAACCCAGCTGCTCTCTATTAAGCCAGACATTAAAGAGATTTTCAAAAATGTAAAACAATGCCAGTTTTTTCACCAATTTTTTATTTTGGAAAATATATTTTTTCATGAAAATGTTATTTATGGTAACACATAGCAGGTTTATTCTTTCCTTAATCAGTTAAAAAACAAATGATATTTAAATTTCTCAGTTTTAATTTCAAATATGGTAAATAACAGATATAAGCAACTGAGGTCTTCAATACTTTTTCAGAGTGTCACTGGGTCCCGACATCAAAAAGTTTGAGAACTGCTGCCCTGAGTTTCCAAATTAGATGAGAAGTGGGGAAAAAAATCTACTTATTTTTTTCTCTTTGAAATATAAGACTTTAACATGATGAATCTATAAGTTTCATTGTCTCATCTTAATAATGGTAATAGGGAGAAATCTGCAGTAGAAAGAAGACTGGACTATAAGACAAAACTGAGATTTAGTCCTGACTTTTACCACTAACCGGAAACCCTGGTGGCACAGTGGTTAAGAGCTATGGCTGCTAACCACAAGGCTGGCAGTTCGAATCCACCAGGCACTCCTTGGAAACCTATGGGGGCAGTTCTGCTCTGTCCTATAGGGTCGCTATGAGTCGGAATGGACGTGAAAACAACGGGCTTTTGGTTTTACCACTAACCAGGGGCTGACTAAGGGTGAGTCACTTAACTGCACATAACCTCGCCGGCCCTTTATTTCCCCACCTCTAAAATGGGGTGGTTCTATCAGTAACTCTCAATGGAAGTGTATGAGAATCTCTGGGCATGCTATTTTTTCAAGCTATACATACTTGCTTTTCTGCTTTCCTTGAAGACACTGATCCATTCCCTCCCACCCCCTTGAGAATTACTACAGGTAACAGGAGCTGTTACTGACGGGAGGAGGTTACACTTGTGATTGCAGTGATGCTGTGGAGGCAGAAAAAGGCTGAAAAACCACTGAATGGAATTACCTTTAAGGTCCCTTCCAGATACAAAGTTCCTATCAAAGACAACAATCCCAGTCACTGCATGCATGATAATACATCTGCCTCTCTTCTTTTCTATCAGTACCCCAGATTTTCTATTTGTGAACCAGGGCAAAGAGAGTGAACGGAAAAGCTCGGAGTGACCAGCCTAGGTTAGATGGACCCTCAAAGTCAGCAGTGGCTCTAGGACTGCTCCTTTACCATCCAGCAACGTGTATTTAATATTTCCATAAGCTAGTTTCCTGGGCCATACCATCATAAAGGAAATTCACGGTATTTCACCCTTTAGAAAAAGCCCTAAAAACACAATTCTTATTCTGAACAATCTTTTAATTCAGAAGCAGTAACAATAGGAGTGAGGACTATACAATGAAATTCTTCCCAAGGGGGTGTGAAGGCTTTATTTTTGGATCTAGAGTCTTGAAGAAAACTGCTACTTCTTTCAGACCAAGCAAATGCTCTTTTCTGAACATAAGCTACTTGCTTACCTTATAGCCAAAGAGAAAGAGTCCAAAGAAAAGGCTGTAGAGGTCAGCTGTGAGGATGCCCAGGTTGACAGAAGTGGCACTGGTGGCTTTAATCACCAATGGCATAAAGCTGTACAGGCAAAACATGCAGAGGGCAAATGCCACAAAGAGCAGGGCTGTGAAAAAAACAGAATATCTAACATTATAGGGAGAAAATAAAGGCAAAGGGGCTTAAGGCTTGACTACCATCAAAACTCCCTGATCCTTTAACATATATATTATCTACATAGCCCCTTGGTAACAGTCAACATTGCAAATGAAAGATACGAAGCTCTCTGGAAAAAAATAATAACAAGTTACGACTTAGATGAGGGGTAAAAAAAAACAGTTGCTGTCAAGTCAATTCTGACTTATGGCTACAACATGTGTATCAGGGTAGAAATGTGCTCCACAGGGTTTTCAATGGCTGATTTTTTCAGAAGTAGATCACCAGGCCTTTCTTCCAAGGTGCCTCTGGATGGATATGAACCACCAAATTTTCTGTTAGCAACCAAGTGTGTTAACCATTTGCACCACTCAGGGACTCCAATGTAGATGAAGGACCTCTAGAATCCAGCAATGTGTTGGATAGTCAAGGCCATAAAATATAGCTCATGGTGTGACTGAGTCAATGGCTCTTACCACCCATGCTATCCACCCTCCTAGGGCAGAGTGATACCTCTGATAAAAGGTCAGTTAAGGCAGAATCAATGCCACATGTCAAGAAAAATCACTAATTATCTCTTTTTGCATTGTGTTTGTTTGGCTGGACATGATTTGTATAATTGGATTCAGAATAAAGTATTTTTAGGGCATCAAAGGCAAAGTTGTTCGGTTCATTTCCTTTTGTTCACCTCATTAAATTAAATGCTCCAATATAGCATAAGGTAACTATCCTCTCTAAGACAATGCTAGACATACAGATGCTGACTACACTGGCAGATCTCTGCTTTGCAATCGCTTCTCAATCTAATTCCCGTACCCAACACACATACACACACACACACAATCTTTCTGTCAATTTGAATTATTTAATTCAATTAAATTATCCAAGTGTAGAACAGTCTCCAATGACATTTTATGTACTATACAACTTCTTTCTACCGATCATTAAATAAAGTTCAAATCATTCCTAACTGTCACATCACGGTTTCTTTTGCTTTATTTGTGCAGATGCCTAAGAACATCAGGTGACAGTAGCAATGGAAGGTTGTGGGTGATAACGCACCATCAGATCACTCAGGTTAATGCTTCATACATTACCTCAAGCAGACAACAACCTTCCTAAGAAGTCTGAGGACCCAAGATACGGATCAAACTGAAAGATGAGTGTGAATGAAGGTCAGCCTTGTTCAGAATTCCTAGTAAAAGAAAGGCTATTCCTGCAGGTAAAGATTAAGAATTAACTTCTCTGGAGGTTCATCTAAAAAATCTCAAAGAAAACTCAATCGAAACCATTATAGCTCTGTGTGTACTGAACTGCACTGTGATTTTACAGAGATGTCTAAATATGAAAAGGGAGTATTTGTTTCTTAATGTGTTTTTGTCAGTGTAGGGAAAGGATACTGACTAAAAAGAATTGACATTTATTTACCTACCAATTTTCCAGTCCCAGTGAATGCTGGCAATATCCTTATATTCTATAATCAATCTAGGATTAAAACAAGAGGTCACAGAGAGATCCAGGTTAAAATATGTCTCACTCCCTTATTCACTCACTCTTCAATAGCATAGTTAGCTATAGCAGGAAAATATAATGTTATGCTTTCTTTAAATAAGCTTATGGATTTAATATGTTAATATTTTCTAGAAATAACTGAAAAAGAAAGTCCTTATTTGTAATGTCTTTTCCAAATCCTAAGCAGGATCCTAAATGTCACTCATGTATAAGAAAACGAAGCATAACTCATGACATTTCTGCAATCCTCTAACAGATACTTAGCAAGTTACCGATGATCAAATGTGAATTGGTGACAAGTAAACAAATTTTTGTAGCTGGAAAGTAATCATCTATGCTATATTTGCTCATTTTGTTTTTAAAGAAAACGGTAGAATCTTACAGCTGTAGGCCGCTGATAATTGTTCCAAATAAGCCCACCATTCCTAAAAACTCCTCTCTGCTCAGCTTCTTCACGATATATTCTTCACATACATTAGAGACAGCGTAGAGGGAAGCCCCAAGAAGAACTAAGATGTCACCAATCAGTACATTACTACCTATAGGAAGACAAGCCGCAAAAAGGAAAACACTGTCAACAGATGAACCTCTTTAGTTTGCCTCATGGAGTCTATCTGGCTCGTGGTCATTTAAATAAGATTTTACAGAAAGAGTAATCCTGGTTTCTAGAAGTTTAAAGTCTCTTAACTCTTCCCACTTTCTGGCACAATTCTGCTGTGAGTTTTCATATTTTGACCTCTAGAGACTAAACAGACTGGAAGATGGTAATATATACCATACTTAAGGCCTCAGAAAATATTCTATGACACGACAGATTAATGGTTGGAGGGTCAGGTCAGTTTGAAAACTATAGAGTAGGAAGCTGTTTTCAAGGTAATTTTTTCTCTTAATCAAAGGAGACAATGAAGTCACTTGTAGATTGAGTGAATTCATGGATCATTTTTGGGTTGCCTACTATCAGTTGTCTGAACTTTGATGCAAAGTACTCTCACCTACAGAGAGACTTTAAAAGTCATCCATTGAATAAAAAGTTTCCTTTTTGATAAAAACAAAAAAAATCAAGAATATACAGTAGGTTTCGTAGTAACTAATCCAAATGTTTGGACCAAAAGATTATTTCAAACGTATAAAGAAACTTCTCTCTTCATGAGACAAAACAAAAATATTAAATGTGGCAAAAAGAAGCAGGACTGTGGGCAGGTAGGAACATAAAAACTGTTCTGTAAAGTGGTTGCAAAATGCCAGAAGCAAGTAAACATGAAAATAAATTTTAAAATAGTTAACCAGGACGTGTTTTCTGCCTTTTACTGTGCCTTTGCAAAATAACAGTGAAAACATAAACCAAACTTTTTTCTGTGACTGAACCAGAAACAAGAAGCACAATCTTACCTGAATTGTTTTCTCTCCCTGCTAATATGTCTGCACCAACCATGGTTCCTACACCCAACAGACAGACAGCCACAGCAATGAAGTGGATCACTCTGTATCTTGCATGAAGAATAAACCATGAGAGGGCCATCAACACGGGAATCCCAAAGCAATCCAAAAGCTGCATGGACAGAGCATAAAACAGCATAAAACAACTCCAGTTAGCCAAAAACATGTAATTAAGTAAAAATGTTGTTGCTGGGTGCAGTCGAGTAGCTTCTGACTCACAGCGAGCCCATCTGACAGAGCAGAACTGGCCCACAAGGTTTTCTAGGCTATAATAATCTTTATGGGAGCAGATTTCCAGGTCTTTCTCTTGCACAGCCACTGGGTAGGTTGGAACCGCTAACCTTCTGGTTAGCAGCCGAGCGCTTAACCGTTGCACCACCAGGGCCCCTTAATTAAGTAAAAATAGGGAGTCAGCATTTATTATTGCTAGCCCTGATCGAACTGCTTTACTTTGACTGGCCCATTTAATCCTCACAACAACTCTATGAGATTAGAACTACTATTTTACACATGAGGAAAGCCAAGACATACAGAGGTTAAATGAGGTGTCCAGAAATCACATCATTAAAAGTGAGAAAGCCAGGTGCTGAACCCAGGAATTCCACCTGTGCAATTTATCTCTACACTCCCACCTGTGTTGACCCTGAAGTCCAGCAGGCAAACTTCCCTTCCTGCGTGCATCCATTCACTCAGTCTACAAATATTTATTAAGCACCTCACATGCGTGAGACACGTGCTAAATGCTGGGAATATAGCGGTAAACAAGACAGATAACAAATTCTGTCCTCAGGAGCATACAGATGGCTAAATGCTACAAAGAAGTTACAAGTTATTATTAGAGAGTTTAACCAATACCAATACCATCTTCCAGGGGAAGGCTTTCTCTCTCTGTTGGCCTTCTTCTCTTCGGTGTTCCCCTGGACTAGGAGCTTCTTCACACAGGGACCCCAGTCCAAAGGACGCGCTCTGCTCCTGGCACTGCTTTCTTGATGGTATGAGATCCCCCTGTCTCTCTCTGCTGAGTTCTGTCTTTTATATCTCAAGACATTGCCTCAGGATACAATCCAATCTTGTAGACTAAGTCCTGCCTTACTAACACAACTGCCGCCCATCCTCCCTCATTAACATCATAGAGGCAAGTTTACAACATACAGGAAAATCACACAGTACCAGGCATCATGGCCTAGCCAAACTGATACACACATTTTTGGGGGGACATAATTCAAACCATGACATTCCACCCTTTGGCCCCCAAGAAATCACATCCTTGCAACATGGAAAACATATTCACCCCATCATATCATAGCAAAAGTCTTAACTCCAAGTCC